TAAATTTATTTATTTACTTGACCACAGCCTTTTTATTCATTATTTTACCGCAGCTCTTCTCTTTTCATCTATTTTAAAGATGATAAAACTCTGATCACAGCTATTGTGGTCCAGCGGTTAGCACATTAGGTTAAGACACCGCGGACCTGGGTTCGATCTTCGTTAGAGTAATTTCATGTTTTCATTTTTATTGTTAAGACACATAATACTGTTAGGGTTGTTGAACATTTGAAGTTCTAAAGCAGCTGTTTTCTCAAAAAAAGACGTGATAGTGTCATTAGAAACTGATTTGGAAATTACCTTATTTTAATATAGTCAGTCGTGAACTGAGGTGGGCCGGTCTGAGGCTTGAAACTCCAGGGCTGAAAAGGAGTACCACTCCGGCCCTGTAGAAGTGTCTTGAAAAATATCTAGTCAAATAATATGTACTGTCATCATGGCAAAGATAAAATGAATCGGTTATAAGAGATGAGTTATTAAAACTATTATGATTAGAAATGTGCTGAAAGAATCTTCACTTCGTTAAACAGAAATAGGGGAAAAATAATTCTGACTTCAACTGAATATATACACATTGCAAATTTTAGATAGTAGATTTAACTACCTTGGTGTTAAAATTAACACTCCCTCAGAGTTTATATGGAAACCACTATAAAAGTGTCAAAATAACACTTTTGAAAGAGTTAACATTATCAACACTGAGAGAGTGTTAATTAGCAAACTCTTATAGACCTTTTTCTTGGAACGCAAAATTACCCATTATGCTTTGCGTGTATGCGCAAGGAGAATGCGAAGAACATGCATCTTCTGCAGTTTAAATGAAGCATTGTCATCGCTAAAGTCAACATTTTCTCTTTATTTCAAATATATAACCAGCCCAAACAAATGTAATTCACCAAAATGTTTGACACACACACGTAGCCTGTACTGTGCCACTGACACACTGATTTAATAGCTGTGACAAAGTGAAAATATAGGCTAGTGTCATTTCGAAATGACAGAAAAACACAAACCGTGGTGAAAACAGCACACGAAATAAAACACAAAATGGCTCGCGATTAGAATGAACGGCAAATCAGCCAGCAGAGTATCAATAACAGACTTTTATTGGTCATTTTTGTAAATTGCACGACTTTCATACCAAAAATCTAGCTTAAACCAGTTTAGGATGGTTGGCTGGTTTTAGCTAGTCGACCAGACTGGTTTTAGAGGGGTTTTGGCCACTTCCAGGCTGGTTTCCAGCCATTTCCAGCCTAGTCTTAGCTGGGAAAGTGACCAGCTAAAACCATTTAAAATCAGCTTGACCATCCTGGTTTAAGCTGGACGTAGCTGGTTTTGGCTGGGCTCCCAGCCTTGATAGGCTGGTCAAGCTGGTTTTAGCTGTTAACATAGCTAGTACAAAACAAAATAAAGATGAAAAATTATACTTTTTTGTGAGATATTTAAAGCTAACGTATACATAACGATTCGGACGTCAAATGTCCATATACAGACATTTTAAGTACTTTTACTCACCAGTTGCTTCATCTCATTGCTCCTTGTGGCAAAAACAAATGGCGTCTGGAAAAATCCTACAGGTAAAGTGCTGCACAAATTACTGGATGTAATGGTAAACACTGTATAAGCGTTAGATACATGTAACTCTGTATGACAAGGAGGCAAATCAGCTTCTAACACTGAGAGGGTTGATTTATCTTTATCTAACTCCTCTGAATTACCACAACACTCGAAATTTAACACTAATGCATTTGCTGTGTAGTAGACAGATATGAATCGAGCATGAGAAGTGAAAAGAAATCTCGTATGGTAGACTATACGTGTTACTTACACTTATTATCTTGTAACTAAGGATTATTTTTACTCCTCTTAGCAGGTTAGACAGTTAATTTGCGAACAGTTTGGCTTGTACTTCATAAACAGACAAATAAGAGGATTAAGGCGGATAAGCACTAACGCATTGTCAACACTAGGAGACGCTGTTGGACAGAGAAATACATCATTGTTTTACCAGCATATGGAGGACGCCATCTGCTGACCGAGCGCTACTATCAACACATGACAGCGGCGTTTTAATCATTGTTACAAAACATTAGGCAACGGATGTGCTTTAGTCTCGAGCATATTTTTAGAATTACATCATTCATAATCCATCCATCTTTCGGATTAATTTTAGTCAACAATTCATTTTAATCAAGGATTAGCTGTTGTGGTTGTCTCCTCATACTACGACTAGCAGTATAGCATCAACACGTATTAGCTAAAATGCGGTTTGATGATATTAACGTTTAATATTAGTAGTAAAATGTTGTTTTAGACTGCAAAATGCAACTGTGGAAGCTTCCAGGGTTTGGAGGATTGTTGAAAGAGGCCAAAATATCTAAAATGATAAAATCTAGGCTAAAACTGCTAAATACAAATGAATTAATACATTTTAATACAACACGTGTACAATATTTATTTATATTTGTTACATTTTATTTTGCAACAATGAACAAATTTGAAAATTAATGAATTTATTTTAAATATATGTAAATAAACCATTTTAAATATCGACACACTTAATGTTCCACATATGCTTTGTTCATTAAAATGCATAAGCCTAAATATATTTTTTATTATATATTAGTATTACTATATTAATTTAAACACACATTACATTATATATTTCTAATACATGCATATATTTATACATATAATACATACTTATCGACCACACACACACACACACACACACACACACACACACACACATATATATATAATTACATAATTCATAATCCAACCATCTTTCTGATTAATTTTAGTCAACATTGATTGATTTTAATCAAGGATTAGTTGTGGTTGTCCCCCATACTATGTAGAAAAAAAAAGTTATAATTCTGACTTCAATACATGGGTCAAAATGATTTATATATATATATATATATATATATATATATATATATATATATATATATATATATATATATGTATGTATGTATGTATGTATGTATGTATGTATGTATGTATGTATGTATGTATGTATGTATGTATGTATATGTGTGTATGTATGTATGTATGTATGTATGTATATGTGTGTATGTAATTGTGATTCTGATTGAAGTCAGAATTATTAGACATCCTTTGAATTTTATTTTCTTTTTTAAATATTTCCCAAATTATGTTTAACAGAGCAAGGAAATGTTCACAGTATGTCTGATAATATTTTTTCTTCTGGAGAAAGTCTTATTTGTTTTATTTCGCCTAGAACAAAAGCAGTTTTTAATAATAATAAAAAAAAAACCCTATTTGGTCAAAATTATTAGCCCCTTTATATTTTTTCTATATTGAATAACAATGGTTTGTTCTGTAGACTAACTCGCCTAACTACCCTAACCTGCCTAGTTAACCTATATTAACCTAAATAAGCCTTTAAATGTCACTTTAAGCTGTATAGAAGTTCCTTAAAAAATATCTAGTCAAATTTTATTTACTGTCATCATGGTTTAGATATGTGTTGAAAATGTCTTCTCTCCGTTAAACAAATATTAGGGAAATAAAAAAAACAGGGGGGCTAATAATTCAAGTAAGCTAATATTTCTGACTTCAACTGCATAATGAAAATACAAATAAAAATAAAAGAGAATGTTAGATATTGGAGTAATAATTTGCAAAATTAAAATTAGCAAGACTAAAATAACTGACCAATGGGGGAACAACTTAAACAACAATTTAAATTGTTATAAATTAGAACAATTTAAACTGTAAATTAGAACAATTTAAATGTTCTATGTTCAATTCACAAACAAATGGGCTAACTTTTACATATCTGTGTTGGGACAATATGCTAAAATTGTGCTGAACCCAGCATTTTTTACACATTATACAGTTAAAGTCAAAATTATTCACCCTCCTATGAATTTTATTTTATTTTTCTTAAAATATTTCCTGAATGATGTTTAACAAAGAAATGTTTCACAGTATGTCTGAGTATGTCTTATTTGTTTTATTTTGGCTAGAATAAAAGCAGTTTTTAATTTTTTAAAAATAATTTTAAGATCAAATTTATTAGCCCCCATGAGCTTCTTTTTTTCCCGATAGTTGACAGATCAAACCTGTTATGCAATAACTTGCCTAATTATCATAACTTGCCTAATGAACCTAATTAACACAGTTAAACTGTGCTTTAAGCTGAATATTAGTATCTTAAAAATATCTCGCAAAATATTATTTACTGTCATCATTCATTCATTTTCTTGTTGGCTTAGTCTCTTTATTAATCCGGGGTCACCACAGCGGAATGAACCGCCAACTTATCCAGCAAGTTTTTACGCAGCGGATGCCCTTCCAGCCGCAACCCATCTCTGGAAAACATTCACACACACACACACATTCACACACACACTCATACACTACGGACAATTTAGCCTACCCAATTCACCTGCACCGCATGTCTTTGGACTGTGGGGGAAACCGGAGCACCCAGAGGAAACCCACGTGAAGGCTGGGAGAACATGCAAACTCCACACGGAAACGCCAACTGAGCCAGCTGGTTCGAACCAGCGACCGTCTTGCTGTGAGGTGACAGCACAACCTACTGCGCCACTGCCTCGCCTTACTGTCATCATGCCAAAGATAAAATAAATTATCATTATATATCTTTATAATTATCTAAATAGTTATTAGAAATCAGTTATTAAAACTAGTATGTTTAGAAATGTGTTGAAAACAATCTTTTTTTTTCCGTTAAACAGAAATTGGGAATAGATATAAAGGGGGTAATAATTCAGGAGGGCTAATAATTCTGACTTTACCAGTGTAACTCTTAGCCACCACACATCTTTACTCCAGTACACATACCGCACACTTTAGTCAGTAAAGGGTTAAGCATTGCTGAACTCTGCTCCTGGACACATTCACAGCATCTGGTGTGTCCAACCACTAAATCCCATCCTCATCCCTGCAAAGACAGACGCACAGCCCAACCGGCCAATCATAGCCTCCTGCTGCCCCCCAGCTGACCAATCACAGAGCAGAAAAGAGGAGGGACATTGCTGGATCACATAGCTTGGGCTTGTAGCATCCCTGTAGCTCTTCTTGTCCTGTCTCTGAATAAAATGAACAGAAAAAAGCACAAAACGGGAAGAAATGAGATGTGATTCTGTACGGTGAGGTCAAATGTGCTGAAAGCAAGCAAAATCTTTCAGTCTTCAGCCTCTCAGCTGGAGTGTTTGAGCTGAGGAACGAAGGAGGAGGGGTGAAAGGAGAAAAATCACTCTCCTTTTTTCCATCGGCTGCCTGGAGAACCTTGGAAGGACGTCAGCCGTGGCCAGATTTCTCCATGAACAGGTTGGTAGATTTCATATCAGCAGATAAAGATTTCAGAGTCATATCTTTATTGCATAGAGGAAGATTGATAGCTGAAAAAGTCACAATATTTTGGTGCCTCTGTTGGTATGTCTATCTTTGTCCTCTGGTGGCCTCTGATTGGTCGAAGAGGCAGGATTAAGAGAGCCCTCCTGCATTCTGATTGGTGAAAGGACGAGCATGTTCTTCATTAAGTGTGACTTTTTGTGAAAGAGACAGTGACCAGTCTGAGCTGAGATAAGAATTGATTATGTAAGAAGGTAATTAACGCTCCTCAAATACAGGGATTACTGCAGATATTTCTGTCTTTTCTCACAGGGAGTTTTGTTGTTGACTATATTTGAGTTCGTTTAAGGGTAATTCTTCAACTATGGGCACTTTTATACTCTTTGATCATATATCCAAAATATATATTTTGTTTAAACTCCTCTTTTTTTTGTCAAACTAACAATAAAACCTACTTTAAATTTATTTTACTAGCTTTCTATTATATTTTTTCATATTATTCAACCTCCTCCACACACAGCTTGTTGAAGTCAACTTGTTGCTTTTGAGCCAATTGGTTTACTCGCATCACTTTTTACAGTGAAAGCGACAACTTGACTTTACCTAAAAAAGTGAGTTAATCCAGCCTGATCTCACGAGAAAACGTAAGTATTTTACGTTTTGGCAGTTTAGTGGCTAATTCGTACGAATTCGTACGAGTTCAGTCGTAAGAAAATGTACGATTTTAAAAAGGAGGCGTGGCACCTAACCCCACCCCTAAACCCAACCGTCATTGGGGGATACGCAAATCGTACTAAAATGTATGAATTAGATCGTACGAATTTGTACGAATTAGCCACTAAATGAAAAAGTTACGAATTGCCGTGAGATTGTGTTGGTTTATCGGATTTAACTTGGAACTGTTGAGTTGGCTTAATTTTTATAATTATACACACAGTTAATTTGATAAGTTCAGATGTAAAAAAAGCTAACACTTTATTTTGGTGGTGCATGTGAGTATTTGTAGATTAGTAATATCTGCTGATACTGCTCCTTCAACAGACATTTAACTGACTATAAGAAACTTATTAAGGCTGATTTATACTTCTGCGTCAAACTACCAAGCCGATCAATCACAGAGCTTGCGCTACGCGTTGTTGCGACGTGTAGTTACATTTTTTGAGAGGTGCACGTCAGTGACGGCCACGGCGAAGGGCTATGCGTCAGCGCCGTAGCATACGCCGGTGTTTGACGCAGAAGTATAAATCAGTCTTGCTTGTTACAAAAGTCAATTAATTAGCCCCTTTCACACAGTAATGCCGGTAAATATCTGAAAAATTTCCAGAACGACTTTACCGGTAGATTCAAAAAAGCGCTGTTCACACTGACGAGGACGTTACGGATTTTTTCCGGAAAAGAGCATTCACACATCCATTTCAAAATACCGGTAAATTCTTACATCATTAACCAGAAATGCCCTTTAAATGGCTGGGCTTGTATTTGTATACATTTGACTACATTACAAACTTTGTGGATGGATCAGTATGGTCAAAGAGATTAGAATGACCAGGAGGCGACACTCAATAGAACGTTCCATTGCAACAGCAGCGCCCAGCAGCAGCCCCGGATTCCACCATTTTGGAGTGAAAGCGATCGGCTGTCCATTGGATCTCATTACTGTCGCGATAAGCAGCTGCTTTGTTTTTATTTATTTATTTAAAAAGCGCATTAAAGCAGAGATACAACCTGAAAGACGACAATACAACACTTATTATCATAATTATCAGCACTTTTAAGAGTTTATTTTACAGACTTATAATATGCTGTTGTTCTATTGGAGTTTTCATTCCAAAATGGCCGCTGCGCCCTCTAGTGGCTGCTTAACAAATTACACAAGAGTGTCGCCTCTTGGTGATTCTATGCTCTTTGGTATGGTGAACGACTTCGATGAGAACTTATAGAGAAACACTTTCGCATTTCGAGATGTACATGATATGTGTGTGTGCTTGCGCTCACGGGCTGTCTCACGGGCACACGCAAAGCTTGAAGGTAAACAAACAACGGCTTATCCTAAGCATCTTATCGATAATTATTTACACAGTTGGCATTAAGATGAACATATAAACGTTATCTGACTAATTTCTAGCAGCTAAATGTGTCTGGGAAAATATTCAAAGGCTTTTAAGCTGCGGTCACACCAGAGTTTGAGTTTGCGAAATTCTGTCGTACGGCTCTGCGAAAAGGGGCGGGATTAAACAAGATGATTAGTCATTTAAAAAGCGAGCGATTGCTCCATGTTTTAAATTTCTGTTCAGAGATGTCATGTTTTGATCCTCGATTGGTCTCACGCAGTATAGTGATGCGATTTCGCGGGTCAGAGTTCACCAAGCTTGACCTTTGCACCGAAGCAACCTGCGAAACTTGACGTATGACCCTGCGTTTCCGGTCTGACGCATTCGCGTGCGTATGAATAGAAGTCTATGGGAGGAAAAGCCCAGTGTGACCGCAGCCAAAGAGCTTAGAATGACCAAGAGGCGACACTCAATAGAACGTTCCATTGCAACAGCAGCGCCCAGCAGCAGCCCCGGATTCCATCATTTTGGAGTGAAAGCGATCGGCTGTCCATTGGATCTTATTGCTGTCGCGATGGCTAGCGGCTGCTTTGTTTTTTTTTATTTATTTATTTTAAAAAGCGCATTAAGTCGGCGCAGTAGCCTAGTGGTTAGCGCGTCGACATATGGTGCAGTAGCACGTCAGGGCACCCTGAGATCGAATTCCGGCTCGAGGACATTTACCTACCCCCTCTCTCTCTCCAACTTCTCCTCCTGTCTAAATACTGTTCGATATAATAAAGGCCAAAAATAAATCTTTAAAAAAAAAAAAAAGCGCATTAAAGCTGAGATGCAACCTGAAAGTCGACAATACAACACTTACTTTGACAATCATCAACACTTTTGAGAGTTTATTTTACAGACTTATTTTATGCTGTTGTTCTATTGGAGTTTTCATTCCAAAATGGCCGCCGCGCCATCTAGTGGCTGTTTCCCAGATTGCACTAGAGTGTCGCCTCTTGGTGATTCCTTGCTCTTTGCCGCAGCTTTCTCATAAACCGCGCTTACGTGAATGTGTCTGACTGTTCTGATTGGCTAAAGCAGACGTCTCAAGTCAGCACGTTCTAGACGTGCACGTGCTCTTTCCGGCAATCTTTCTTCTGCATTCACACAGCGCAGCATTCCGGCAAATTACCGGTAATGTTACAACTTCTCTATCCGGTAAATAGCCAGAATGAATTTACCGGTATTTTTAAAAAGGACCTGTTCACACATACACACCGGAAAGGTGTCAAATCCGGAAAGGTCTGTATGTGTGAAAGGGGCTTTTGTATAACAGTGGTTTGTTCTGTAGACAATAAAAAAACTATGCTTAAGGGGGTTTATAATATTGACCTTAAAATGAATTTAAAATATTAAAAACTGCTTTTATTTTAGCTGATATAAAATAAATAAGGCTTTTACCAGAAGAACAAATATTATAGGGAATACGGTGAAAAATTCCTTGCTCTTTTACATATAATTTAATAAAAGAAACTAAATTTACAGGAGGGTGAATAATTATGACTTCAACTGTATAAATGTTTGTGTGTATGTGTGTGTATAACTATTTAATGAAGTAATTGTTTTTATCAGATATTTTTATACTCGAGTAACTTTTAAGATAGTTACATTTACTAGTGTAATAATTCTGGATACTCTACCCACCTCTGCATGCGCTAAAGGTAAATTAGATGGACTAAACTGGCCGTAGTGCATGTGTGAATGTGAGAGTGTATGGATGTTTCCCAGTGCTGAATTGCTGCTGGAAGCGCTGTGTAAAACATAAGCTGGATAAGTTGTCGGTTCGTTCCACTGTGGCCCCTGATAAATGAAGGACTAAGCTAAAGGAAAATGAATAAATATAATCCAGCAAACGTGAGTTTAGATGTCAGACAGCAGCAACTGTGCAGTGCAGGTGTGCTCAGGCCGGTTGTTAGAAAGAGAGAGTCAGCATAGGAAGCAGGAGTACATCCTAGTGCGTTACTGTCATCTCTTACGACACACACACACACACACACACACAGACCTCTCGCTGTGTGTGTTTCTGGGTACTCGATTTCCTCGGTAAAACATCATCAAACCCATCAAACTCTCTCTGTTTCTTTCTCTTTTTGCTTGCCCACATCCTGTAACCATACTGCTTTAGGAGACAGAGAACAGACTAACGACAACAAGATCACACACACACACACACACACACACACAGTAAACAACACTCACAGGCACATAAACACTCACACAATTTCACACATACTACTACACACTAAAACACACACTGGATAAGTTGGCGGTTCACTCCGTTGTGGCAACCCCTAATTAATAAAGGGACTAAGCCGAAAAGAAAATCAACAAAAGAATGAATGGTACGAATTTACGAAAAAATATATATTTTTTGTCTACTTTTATTGTATTACAATATGGAGAATTAGTTAAAAACTTGTTATTGATGTTATTAAACAGAATATTGTTACATTTTAAAGGGTTTTTGGTTTTATTATAAAACGAAATCTAACTCAATTCTGTAAATCAAAGGTGAATTGTTTGCTTCATTCTATCATGCCAAATCAATGAAAAATGTGTTCATTCATTCATTTTTCTCTGGCTTAGCCCCTTTATTTATCAGGGGTCACAACAGCGGAATGAACCGCCAACTTATCCAGCATATGTTTTATGCAGCGGATACTCTTTCAGCTGCAACCCAATTCTGAGAAACACCCATACACACTCATATACTTCGGACAATTTAGTTTACTCAATTCACCTATAGCGCATGTGTTTGGACTGTGAGCACCCGGAGGAAACCCACGCAAACATGGGGAGCACATGCAAACTCCACACAAAAATTGACCCAGCCGGGACTCGAATTAGCAACCTTCTTGCTGTGAGGCGACAGTGCTAACCAGG